GTGTGTGTGTGTGTGTGTGTGTGTGTGTGTGTGTGTGTGTAGTTGCTGTAGTTTATATGCATCAGTAGTTTGCAGTAGCATGAATTTCCTGTGAGCGCAGACAGTCTGCATTTCTTACAACATTCGTGAGTCCTGGGTGTGATAGAATAACTGGGGGAAAAACCAATAAAACAACTAACAATTTAACACCATGCTGTTACCAAAGGGAATGAAAATAGAAACCCTGCTAAAACTCCGAGTCTCCAACTTTTAAGTGCAGTGTGACATATTTGACGCGATGTTTCCCTGAGTAATGGCACTCTGCGATATAATGTCCAGGCCAAAGTCGCAAGGAAGTTAGGGGGAACCGGGGCTAGCAGGCTTTCTGGCCCGGCCAGTTGGGCTTCTGCCGCCAAAGCCCGGAGGGGCGATACTGGGAGTAGAGACAGGCCATTATGCTGTTGCTGCTGCTGGCATTTCAGGGTTAAATTCCTGCGCGGATTGGGAATCACTAGACTGTAACTTCTATAGAATAACAATAGAAACCATACACGAAAAGAACAAAACCAGCCTCAATACAATAAGTGTTTCCTTTAGAGGAAAAAAAAGGAAGAAGGAAAAGAAAACAATTGTTTCCCCAAAGCTGGACTAATACACTCCAAATTATATTTGTCTTTGGCTGCTTGTTCGGGAAACGAAGTTATGGGTAGTGTTGAAAGAAACATGGCGCGTTGTAGGGTCAGCACTTTGCATTGATCTTTGAGACAATTAAATACATTAAAAGCTGTCAGGAGGTTTTTATGTGGAATCTCTCAACTGTAAAACATTTGCCTGCCACTCCTCTCGTTCAAGGTCGCTCAAGAATGGCAAAATGTGTAGATGTGAAATATTAATAAGGACAAACAGTCGATTTGAAGTTTAGAAGTTTGGTGGAAACTTGGAGAAAATGTGGAAATAAGTGTTTGTTGTAGGATTGCAGTTCACAGATGATTTGTGAGCAGCTCTCTCTCTCTCTCTCTCTCAGTTTCTCTCTCTCACCCTTTCTCGCTCTCTGTGAGTGAATGAATCTGTGACATGTGTTTTGTGTGAAAGCGGGAGAGTCTCAGGGAGCAAAGGAGCCCTCGGAAAAGGCTCTGCAGGATAGAACCGCTTCAAACTTCGGTGAAAGCAAGAGACTGCAAGCGCATTCTTTGCTCTTCTGGAAATGCACCATGCACCGGAGAACTGCTGGTGCTGCCGGTGCACGCGCACGGCGATGACCTGCTGCCACGGATAACGGTGAAACGGTTAATGCAAAAAAGTAAACACTGTTAACTCCAGCAGTGGAAAAACCTGAAGATTAAACAATAACAAAAAAACTTTTAATAAAATGACAAAAGTTGTGCTTCTTTTTTTGGGGGGGTGGGGGGGGGGAGGAAATGGATGATAAACACTTTTCATTTGATGCTCAGTGATGCAGTAGATCCGTATATCACACGGAGTCTAAACACAC